CGTACGTGGGTGACACAGACTACAACTTACGTGGGCGAAGTCGTGGGAAAACAGCTAGTCATAAATAAACGGTAAATCACGGACCATTTTTAGACCAATGTAAAAGTGTATCTAAAATACTAAGATCTCTTGTCTGCGGATCAGTATGTCTAAATTTCAATGTTTACATCTATTTTTGGCAAGTCCTTAACTGTTCCAAAGAACCAATTTCCATAACCCAATTAAAATCAACATATTCCAACCAGGTCAGCTTTCCTCGTTCACAATGCAATAAATTTCCATAGACAACGAAACAATAAACCCAGGACCTTAATTATAGATGAGCGACGCTGGCGGGCGAGTGCATTCACCGTCGACTCGCGTGCGGCGCCAACAACGAAACGAACGATAAACCATCACCTAAGTAGGACGGCCGAATTCTAACTACACACAGATTTCCCTTCTTACTAAACTAGCACAAACTTATGAAATATCCTTCATTACACGGGAATAGTGTAAATAATGATTATATTACAGTCTTATATCACAAGTAACCTTAGGTATCTTAAAATAATTACATATAATAATTCCTATATTCTGTGTATTGCAATAAACTCTCCTCATGTTTAATCAATGTTTTTCGAAATTATCTATACAAATATAATTAAGAGGAAAGATTTATTTTTTTCTTTGTTTGCATTAATTAGACGCTGAAATTTCTGGACCGATTTTATTAACAAGATTTACTATACTACTACCACAAGGTGATGTCTATTAAATTTTTTAATCATTAATGAGAAATAAAAGAATTAGTAAGATAAATTAAGTAGGTAATTAGAACAAATTTTCATCTCTATCAAAAGTTTAAATATTTCTTTTAGTTGTTTGGGTACATTGCCTGAACATTGATGAAAATACAATCTGTAGCAGCGAAAAAGTAACAAGTGCTCTAAGGATTTGTCAGTCCTGTTAGGTCCTGGATAGATCAGAGGTTAGAGTGATTGCCTGGATTGTGAAGTCATAGGTTCAAGTTCCATCTCAGAGTGCCAGGGACAAAGTGGATTTTTTAAGCATATTTCATTAAGAATATTTTCAGTATAGCATTTAGAATGCAAAATTGATCATATATAATAAATAAATTAAGTAACTTTCAGTCACCAGAGCTGCCCTTTGAGCAATCAGCTGGAGACATTATATATTTAATTGAGCTATACACTACAACCAGAGTACAATCAATTGATCAACATTAGCAAAACTATAACTAAGATTTATTTAAGCAGTCAAAAGGAACATTTCACTCTTACTAACAGTTTAACTCCCTTAAGATTAAAACATGTAATAGATATACATAGGGACATATAATAGATAAGTATGATATTGAAAAATTGTGGGTTAGGCCACTTTTGTGCTGACGGCTTCATTTATAAAATTAACAGAATCACATAAATTTCTGCAAATGTAACAAAATTATAAATAATGTTAGATTGAGTAAAAGTCCTCAAATAAAAGTAAAATACCTCTGAGTAATAACTTGCAGCAAATCAACTATGTGGCTTTGAAATGGTGCATTATGATGTTTTAGTCAAAATTACTGAACCAAAATATGTAATAAAATATGCTTTACAAAAAAAATAGTGGTCATTTGTTCATTCATTATTATAATGTCTAAATACAAATCAATTTCTAAAATTCATTTATCTGACCTCAGTAGCCACCTATAATACATTCCCAAATGTTGTGTCAATTTTGTAAGAAAAAAAAATCTAGTTAAGCACAAAGTTCGAATCTACTTCAAAACACTAAATTCAACCTCCAGAAATCAAATTCTTTTATATCTTCAAGATTTTTCTCAATCTTTTAAAATATTTATGCACTAAAGATTGGTGATTTATATAAAATAAATATATAAGAAGAGGTGTTCAGAAAAAGGAAAATATATAGCATTACATTTAAATAAACTGCGAAAGCGACGTTCCGTACGCTGAAAATCAATAACACTTCAGGGACTGGAGTGATTTGAAGCTAATAATTCGTAGAAGGAAGAAAAAAGTCAACATTGAACAACTCACCATAAGAAACAGCAAAGTAGAATGCAGCTCTCGAACAACAATATTAAGTGTTTTTTTTTTTAATAATATTCAAATCCACTTTAATTCACACAAAACTTTGTGATCATTTGATTTGACAAGACTCTGACAGTTCGTTCTTAGATAATTACGTTCCGTTACACATATATCACGCTACTAGATTACGTTACGTTTCGTTTCAGTGGAAAAAGTACGAAAAGCTACTTTTAACGCTAATACGCTAATGATAAAAAGGTAATAATTTAAGGCTATTCATCTTTACGTAATATAATTCAAAATCACTTACCACTGCCTGTGAGCGATCTTTACACTGAAATTTAAACTACACAACGGATTTTAACGTGGTTTTCATTAAATATAGTGATTCAAGAAGAAGGTTAAAATATATAAAATTAGAAAGGTATATATAATATATTGCAGAAACTAGGGTTTAGAAAACCAACCCAAAGCAGTCGCAGTAGACACGAGCTGGGTTAGCCACTTCTAGATAATAATAGCCCTAAACAACCCTAACTGCATTAGTAAAATATCGACAAAGCTCAAATCTCGTCGAATTTTGATGCAGTCAGTACACGAATCGGGAACGCCTAAATCATAAGATATAGTTGAAAAAACACTCAAATATGATGATATATAATAGTAAATTTAGTTTATTGTTAATTTATTGACCACTCTTACATCTATTTTTACAGGTGATACACAATACAATAGAGTAACTGCTTTTTTTTAATAGTTAATAATAACAAGTGACGTGTAATGCTACTTTTTTAAATTCACTCAGTGAACACGAGAAGAGGTCGATTTTTCTCGGCTATATGGTTGAGGGCGCGCAGTGCACATGCCAGTGGAGTCCATAGAGAAAGTCGGTGCGACCTCTAGACACCACCAGCAGACGCGGTCGACGCCGCCGCTCAATATATCTGTCCGGGACATTAAACTTCATCATACCCAATATTCGAGCATTTACTATTTTTCCTCTAATTACTTTAAATAAATACGATAACATGGCTACTTCCCTTCGCACTCTTAATTCGCTATATATAGTAAATTTATTCTGTATTCGCTTCAACATGAGGCAATATTTAGTTTCATGCGAAGCCCAGATAACAGCATTGCATTCTAAATGGCTTCTCGCCAACGCATTGTATAAAGTGGAAACTGCATTAATGTTACTAAAGCCATATACCCTACGAAGTACAAACCCAAGGTTTCTATAGGCCTTTTTAGAGATGTTGATGATATGCTCACGAAACGTCAATTCGGCTGTGAAGTTCACTCCCAGGTCTTTTACTTGTGTCACTTTTTTCATCGTACGGGTTTCGACATTATAATAATACTGAATTGGATTCCGTGTCCGTGTGAAAGTAATAGTAATGTATTTTGTTGTATTAAAAAACAAGTTGTTCTCCTTGCTCCAAGTTACTACCATATCTATATCCTTCTGCAATCGGTCACAGTCTGATATATCTTTATTGGATCGATACATTTTTAGGTTGTCTGCGAATAATAAGCATTTAGAGTCCTTAATGACCTCTGGCAGGTCATTGATTATTTTCAGAAACTGAAGAGGACTAAGATTACTGCCCTGACTTACTCTTGACGTTACATAGAAAAATTTCGATCGATAACCGCTACATAACGTTGCCTTCCACTCATGTAACTGGCAAAAAAATTCAGGGGGTTAGGAGTACAACCCAAACACGCAAACTTTCTTTAAAGAATATCATTATCGACAACATCAAAGGCTTTTCGGAAGTCGAAATAAGCGACGTCAATTTGCCCTCCATAGTCTATATCCTGTACCAAATCTGCCATATAGTTACGCAGATTGCTAGTTGTACTACAACCAGGCCGGAAACCGTGCTGTACTTCTGATAATTGCGATACAACTTGGTCATATATGATTTTTTGCATCTTCTTCTTAGGCGCTACACTCTTGATAGAGAGGTCGTGGTTGTCAAGTCGACATTAGTGGCCTGCTTCACAATGCAACGCCACTCTTCCCGAACTCTCGCTCTTCTCGTGCATTCATACAGCGGTTTGTTTAGGTTTGCTTTATTTGATCGGTCCACCTCATGGGTGATCTGCCGCGTGGTCTGATACCCTCAATCTTTCCTTGCACTACCAGGCCCTCTATGAATTCGCCCCCGCGTCGCGTTATGTGGCCAAAGAAAGTGAGAATACGAGCCCGCACTGTGCTCGACAATCTTTGTTTGAAGCCAAGCTCAAGAAGAATGGATTCATTTTGCATATTCATCATTCTGATTCACAAACCTTTGCTGCAGTCGACAACACCGCCACTGATCTATACTCCTGCACACTAGTGCTTGCACCCCCTTTTGGCACTGGAATCACACGAGTGGTTTTCCATATCCCTGGTCTTCAAACTTAAGGCTTAAATTGTAAATATGAAGCAGCGGTTGCGCCAACACAAAGCGACAGTCCCTAAGGATGTATGCTAATATACCACCCGGACCGGCCGATCGATTAGGTTTAAGATTTGCGAGAGCCTGCTCCTCATCACCTAGACGTCAACAATCCAACTGTCTTTTCGATGAATCATTTATACCACCCGATTGCATCATGCTTCACTTACATTTAACTCTGATTAGACATTACTGTATACCGATTGAAAGAAATTCACAAATTCGTTCACACATTGCTCCCCTTCCAATATAACATCCTCTTTTAAGTTTTTTTTTGGTTTTTTTCTTTTTGGATTTAGTATACTTAATTCCAAAAAGATTTTGGGTCTTCCATTTAATGGCATTGCACACTATCTTGGTACATTAGAAGGCAAATCGGTCAACCAATTTTCTTTTATTTTTTTTTCATCTCAACTCAAACCAAATATCTGCCCCTGTTTAAAATAGAAACGTATATTCTCAGGCCCATTTAGATCATGTAGAGATAAGAAATGAAACAACAATAATTGAAACAAGCATATATTAAACCTTATTATCACAATCTAACACAATGTGTTATGTTTCATTAATGCATATTTAAATCTATTTGAAGCTATAACCTATAAATGCAAACAACATTTTTACTTTAAAGCATTCTCGTATCTGCAGGAGACATCTTTCCAGTTGGCCACATCAAAGATAGCCTTCACATAATCAGCTCTGACATTCTTGTATTGTAGATAATATGCATGTTCCCAAACATCAATGCCAAATAGTGGAACCAAACCTGCAAGGAATATGAGAATGTAGCTTTTATTATACTATTCACAAATATTTATCTGACTTTTTCCATATGTTTTGCTCTACCAACTGACCTGTGGTTGCTTGTAAAGGATCTTGGTTCTGGCAGGTAGCAATCTGCAACTTCTTCATCTGCTTGTTATAACCAAGCCAACCCCAACCAGAACCCTGAACTCCGACTGATGCAGCTGCCAACTGGTTCTTCATATTTTCAAAAGAGCCAAAGTCTCTGGAATAAAAAAAAATCTAGAAAATCAAATGTAAAAATCATTATTTTTAGGTATTTATTTATTCATGTAGCTATATTTGTTTAACCATAAAAGCTTTGATTTTTTCTAATAAATATGATTAATTAAAATAACTTTTACTTAATTGATTTTACCATGTAATTTTGAAAAAATATTATTAAATTGTAAATGAAAACTTTTATCTAAAAATAAGAGAAAGAATTTTTTAAGAGAAAGAGTAATTTTTATAACAATTTATAACTATAATTATATATATTCTAATTTGTTATGAAAATAAAGATAAAACAACTATGCAACACAAAGTCAAGTGAGAAAGGCTTTCTAGCAAATGTGATCTATATTTTGATTAATTATTTACTGAAAAATGTTGATGCATTATTAACATGTTAAAGATGAGGGTGATCTCTTAACAACACTAAAATAAACATATGTGTAAATAAATAGTTTTAAAAGAGTAAATGCAGAAACGGACATTGTTATTGATAACATGCAGTAATTATATTTAACAAATTAAATATAATTGTTTACTTTTCAATAGCTTTGATGAGTTCATCTGATGGTTTACCACCATTTGGGGAGAGATTCTGCCAAAAAATGGTGTGGTTGATGTGGCCACCACCATTGAATTTGAGTGCTGGGGCTAAACCAATCACAGTCTGGATATCACCTGTCAGCAAATGTCCAAAAATAACATGTTATTACTTATTTTAATGAGAATTATGTGTGCCTTGAAATTTTCATATGAAATAACTTTTTACACCAAAAGTTGCTTACTAAAATCATATCTTAAATAAATATTGATAATTATAGGAAGCCATTTCCGTTATTGTAAAGATTATTATTTTAAATACTATATCCATTTCTATGAATTAATTTATTTATAATGGTAAATGAATAATTAATTTTAAAGCATTAAATATTTAGATACATATCAATGATATGTATCTAAATTACTAATTAAAAATATTACTTAATAAATTACATTGTACTGAGATCGTAATAGAAAGTTGAAAATGATTATGATACAACAGATTAATAATATTCTACTATACTCATACTCTAATGAAACCACATATTTTTTAAATAGAAATATTAAAATTACTGCTCAATAGCGTTCAGTAATGGACATGATGGTTCACTCCGACATGGGCTTAAATTGTGCCACAGTATTGAATGATTCACATGACCTCCTCCATTAAACTTTATTGTGTTTAAAAGACCCAGTATAGTGTTTGTATCAGCTGCTGTCGAAGAAAATTGTTTATTATAAATAGGGGTTAAATCACCAACTTGATATGATTTTTTTCTCCACATTATAAATTATTTAATTCACATCCAAAATTATAAGTAAGCAATAATGATAATGAACAGCACATAAATTAAATATCACCTTTCGACTGGGCTTCCTTCAATTTCTCTTCAGCAGCATTCAAGTTGTTCACATAAGTAGCATGATGTTTGCTGTGGTGCAAACTCATTATTTCCCGACTGACAACCGGCTCCAGAGCACTATACTCATACGGTAGTTCAGGCAAAGTGTGTTTCTGGCGAGAGCCACCGGCGACGCGGCTGAACAAACAATAATGCTGTTATATAAAGATCTTTAGAAGTTAACATATATATAATATATATTAAATAAATATAAATTACATGAAATTCCCTAATCTGCGTGTGGCAAACATTCTATTTCAATAGATGCTACAAAACTACACAAAACAGTAACTTGATTGAAAAAGACTTTATCGCCACAGTACAATCTAACAATCTAGGTATTTCAATTCAAATTTTCTGGGTTCCATAAATTATGCAATAAAAATCTGACGATTGAATGACATACGCCGTCAAAGTAGGGAGGTGGCGGTCTGAGGTCAATTAATTGAAGAATCGATTTTACAATGCAAAAAGATTTACTTCTACAAACGGTACGTACCTACTATTCAGCGAATCGATTTTTTTTTAATATGATAATTAAAAGGAACGAAAATGACTAACTTTAATCCATTCGTTTCCTGCAAAAATCAACTTTTAGTAGAGTCGTCATCAAGTGAGGTGATTTTAAGTGCTTTCTTTTTTTCTTAAAATACTTTCTCATAACTGTTTCATGACTATTTCCATAGATCTATTATTATTTCAGTCTCACAGCCAGTTGCACTAATGCCCATCAAAATTGTCTTTCGTTTAAAGCGACATTACCCATGCAAATTAGATATTCGATAGAGCTTAAAGCAAAGAGAAAATTAATACAGTTGGATAATAATAGATATAATTAAACTCTTGAGGATAATTTTCCAACAGTAATTGAAGCGACATCTACTGTTTCAATCCATAAACCAAACGCAAAAATTTATATAATATGCCGGGAAACATTAATATGTGGTGGTTTTCAAACCAATAAAACGACTTAAAGTTAACTAAGAGTCTGTACTATATGGCGATCACAGAAACACAACATAAAACAAGAATGTAAACGTAACCCTAACCTAATTAATTATAAACTAAACTTAAACAAATACGTTTTAATGGTGGACTGCGCAAGCTGTCGCGACAGCAAGGGGAGCGCGGGAAATTACAAATTACGCGTGTAGTGGGCTCGCCAGCAGACTCACTATTCGAGCGTCGAATTCGTTGAGCCGAACCATTCGTCGGCGCACGGGCGAGTCCAACTAGGGAACGGTAGCGTTGGGGTTTACGCTGGCGAGTCGATCCCTGGTGCAAATTACGTTTTGCTACAATAACATAAATATACGCATATATATATATATATATATATATACGTATATTTATGGATGTTTGCATGTAGACTTTAATTAATCACGAAGTTAGATAAATACTGGTAAGTATCAGTTCTCATCCGCCATTACTAGAGTTTGGCAAGCGAAACGTGACACCACCTATTTTTCCGTTTTCATATGGCAACAACATAGAACTGTCAGTTTGACACTACGTTAGACAATTCAAGAATATTGAATTTTGTTGTTTTTGCGAATTTGAACTTGTGTTTTTGGTTAAAAATTATGTCGAAGCCGATAAAAAGTTCATCGAGGAAACTTCTTTCCATCATGATTGACAAGTTTACTGAAGTGAAAACTGAATTAAATAAAAATTTCATGGAGAAATTACAACGATTAGATAAAGTTGTATCTTTTTTAGGTTAGTTTTGTATTATAATTTTGATACTTTCGTTTTAATTTTCTGTAATTAACTAAACAGATATTTTTTATAAAATATTGCTCTATTTCAGATAACTGTGATGGTGATATTCAACCAATAATGGAGGAGATAAATGCAATAAAAACTTTAGAAAAACAAGAAATGCTGAATTCGGAAACGCAGTACTTACAAAAAATTTCTTCAATGACAGGTCTCTTTTCTTGTTTTGATTTAAGATAGATTGATAGTATTCCTATAATATTTACATAGGTTTTTTATGATGTATTGGTTTTTATTGTTGACATCCAATGATGTCATAAGAATGTTTTGTTTAACAAGGAAATTCACAGAATTCATGAAACTAATCAAACCATGTAATTGTTATACATGCTAAATATGCACATAAACTTAACTAAATTAAACATAAATTGCATTCATAGTTGAATAGGTATTTAAATTATTTTGATGTATGTGTCTATCATTATTTGCTTTTAAATACATTTAACATATCTTTGTTTCAAAGTGTTTAATCTTTTATAGATGTAAGTATAAGGACACTAAGAAGGATAAAAAATGAAGCATTAATTAATATAGGAAAATGGGACACTCCTGGGAAAAAACGACCTCATCAACCAACAGTGTCTGCTTTAGATAATTTTGATTTAAGTGCAATTCGGAATAAAGTAAATGAATTTTACTGTGTGAAAAAAATTGTTCCAACATTAAGAAGCCTTCACAATGAATTAAAAGATGCAATAGGATTCAGTGGTAACCGTGAGACTTTACGAAAAATTATGCTTAAGAATGGATTTTCTTTTAAAAGCAATGAAAATGAACGTTCTATGCTTATAGAAAAATACCAGATTTCTGCATGGAGGCACAAGTATTTGAGAGAAATAAATATAAAACGAAACGAAGGAAAGCAAATTGTGTACCTTGATGAAACTTATGTACATCAGAATTATAAAGTTAAAAAGTCTTGGCAAGGACCTTCAACAACTGGTGTCACTACAAAGATATCCTCTGGAAAACGGCATATTGTTGTGCATGCTGGATCTGAGGAAGGTTTTGTGCCTGGTGCATTATTAGTGTTCAGTAGTAAATCCAAATCTGCTGATTATCATGATGATATGAACTCATCGAACTTTATGAAATGGGTCAGAGAAAAATTAATACCAAATTTAAGTAAGCCCAGTGTAATTGTTATGGATAATGCCAGCTACCATATAAAACAAATCAATAAACCGCCTATAATGTCTAATACCAAAGCAGATATCCGTAAATGGCTTGTAAATAATGGAATACATTTTGAGGAATATCAGACAAAGGCAGAGTTAATGTGTTTGGTTAATGATAAGAAAACATTGCCTGTATATGAAGCTGAAGAGATTTTAAAAGAACATAATCATGAACTTTTATTGCTGCCACCGTATCATTGTGACTTAAACCCAATAGAGATGGTTTGGAGTCAAGCAAAAAGAAAAATTGCAAGCAGAAACATTGGAATACCAGGAAAGGAAATGGAAAACTTAATAATAGAGTGTTTTAACTTAATTACCCCTAGTGACTGGAAGAAATACACTGATCATGTTTTAAATGTCGAAAATGATTACAAATTAAAAGATGGCATTGTTGAAAACGAACTTGAAAAATTTATTATATCTGTTGGTGCAGACAGTAGTGAAGAGAGTGACTCTGATGATTCCTTGTCATTGTTATCAGGTGTAGAATATTTAGAAACAGATTTTGACTATGAATCAGACTAAAGTAGTTTTAGTCTGATTCATAGTCAAAATCTTATCTTAAATTTTCTATTGTGATTAACATGATGATTTTGTGACACCTGTATTATGTAATTTATCCATGGCACTTAATTGTAACAAAAATAAATGTTTTTTTTATTGTAATCTGGTGTTTATATTGACTAATTTAATTTGATAGATAGTGGTTCTGGATCAGAGCAAAAGGTTGTGATGAAAATCCCTTAGGAGACATGTATGTGTTATGAACACATTATAAATATAAGGGCCAGAAATCAAAATTGGCTAACATCACATTTATTAAAAAAATGTGGCCAGAGTCGCCCATATTCATTACAAAAAAACAAAGAAGTCGTTGCAAAAAACACCCTTTTAATTAATGACAAATATGAATTTTTAATATTATAAGTGCTGTTAGCCAATAGGTATAACGAATGGGTTAAAAAAAAGATTCGATTTAGTCCGTCAGTCAGATAATAGAAAAATATTGGATACGTATTTTTTTTCGCTTTAATTTAACAACAAATGGCTTAAGAGGTACTATGCGACGACTTCAAATATGCTTTGCAACAATGTTACTTTAATACAGTTTATCGATACGAAATCAAGTGTCAAAATGGAGTCCAGTGGAGAATGCCGATATTGACATTTCGAAATTGCTCATCATTGATAGAGAATACGAAATAGTGATTTTGACACAATCAAAGTGTCTATTTTTTACGGTGATGACGATTCTTGGTTGTCAGTTGAGTTAGTGAATAGGCCTACTGATATGCTGTTAACTGTACAATTAAGAACAGTCACGCTTTAGTCAAATGTTCCAAAACAAATAATTTTAATTGATATCTAAATGTTAAGATTAAATATAATTAATAAAAGTATCAAAATTATTTTGCAGTACTACATTCAGTGTTTACTGCTTAAGAATTTTTGAAATTGCCGCCCTTTTCTTGTGACACGTTTCGCTTGCCAGACTCTATTATATTTAGAATCTTCTCATACACATGTAGACGTTCCGCCATCTGTTGAAAATTAAGATTAGCTATGTTTTTTGATTCAATTAACAGATGTCACTATAATCTTTTTAATTCTAATAATTTTAGAAAGTTCCCCCCCTGCTTCGTTCAACAATACAACTAGATAACGCTTCCCATAGTAAAACTAAAGGTAATTGCTTCCTTCGAGCTAAGTGTTGTTAGCCCGGGGACCGCGGTGCAACCGATGTAAGTTGGACGTTCTATTTATTCTAATTGGTAATTAAACTTATTGTGGGCGATGTAGATTTCTTTGTTCTAAATGCCTTGTAGTATTTTAATTTATAATGTTTGTATTGGAATATTCCAACCTTTATGCCTATTAAAAACTATTAACATTCAATCATCGATTTAAGTCCCTTCCAGGGGACGTATCTTTTGCTTTAAATAGTTTTGTTGTAAATAGATACTCAAAATACATATAAAACACCCAGACAGATACAAACCTAAATTTTCATGCACGCGGCTTCTTAATCGAGAACACGGACCACTATACTAAGATGGTTTTTAATGAATAAGTATTAAAAAATAAAAATTAGTTCTTGAAATAAAACTAGATGTCACTAGCGATGTTCGGATATTGATAATAAATATAATACAACTTTTGTTTCTGATGTAATAAAAGCAAATTGAGTATCGAAAATTAATTAATATGACTATATGTTTTCTATTATATCTAAGAAACAAATTAATTTTAATCTATTTGAATCGTAATTTAAAGTTATTTATTATGTATGTGTTATAAATAAATTACGTGTTTGGTTTATACACAGAACAAAAGTACTCTACGAGAAGAATGCCAACTTCATAGAAAAATATTTTCCATAGAAACTAGCGCCACCTATAGTCAGCCCTCCGGAACAAGTAGTATGGCG